TGGGAATGAAATGCTACATTCTCGGGCCATTGTAAAAGCAGTTTTGCTCAAGACGATTTTTTATTATTTACAACTTTAAAATGACATTATCCATCTTGGTAAGCGTTTTATGTATACAGAGAAGCTTCTATGAACAACCCCAGACAGACACACATGCACCCCGGGCCGCGTCTGGGGAGAACGGCCCCGGCTGGCTCGGAGGCGGGCGGCGCCCTGCACCGCAATCTCTCCGCACCAATTACACGAAAAACTGAACTCGGGATAATGACATAGCACTGTTGGCAAATCTCTCCTCGCTGCGCTCCGGCCTCATCTTTGTAATAAGAGAGAAATCCTTGAGGAAGCTTTTACCAACTCGCGTCTTGACCATTAAATCTTTTCTGAAGAAGGTCATTTAATTTTATGGAAAGAAGTGAACAATTAAAATGGCATAAGCAGAAATAGTCCTGGTCAGATTAGAAAGCTCCGATGGGCGCCCAGCCCGGGGCGGAACAAGCCCTCGAGTGGCTCTGTGTCTCCCCGGCAGAGAGACACTGCATCTCAGTGTCCTCATCGGGGCAAGGGGGCCGTCCTTTCCCCAAACCTGGACGTCTGCTGGGGGGGTCCCGAGTCGGAACACCACGTGGAAAAGGCATTTGATTCCCTCTGCACTTGCTCAGAGAAAAATAGACCAAATGATGCCAACCAGGCCCTCGGCCTCCATTAGGCCGTCCACAGGAGAAATGGTGATCACTAATGGTGGAATCTGGATGATTAGCTAAAAGCAATTTTAGAATAATAGTTGACAAACAGAAAATGCTAAACCCGGCGGACTCTTTTAACTAGGCCCAATTTAAATGCACATTGTGCTGAATGGAGGCTCGTTTAAATGGCCCATTTCAGCCGGATTACGGAGCCGGGAGGAGACCCACACAGCCCTCCCAAGCTTTCAGGACAGTCCAGAGAGCTAATTTGGACAATTGGGCAAATGATTATTTTCTTTGGCCTCAATTGACCAGATAATTGTGCCCACGTCTCCGCCATTAGACTGGGGAACGTCCGTCTGCCGTGAGGCCCAGCTGCCGGCAGGAGGGCCAGGGCGGGGGCGTGGAGACCCGCAGGGCCGGTGGCGGACGTGCCCCCAGCCCATCCCTCACTCTGGGCTGCGCCCCGCGAAGGGGGCTGTTTTCCTTCAATCTCAGAGCTCAGCTAAGCCAAAACACCAGGTCACAAGGTTAGAGGGCGGCCTCTGGGTGGTCAGAGGGATCTGGAGGGGAATTAAGTGTTTAACGGCTGACATACAGCCATAAACAATTTGAGGCCCATGTACAGCTCAACATACACACATGCACGGCGATAAGTTCAAAACATAAACAGCATGTGAGGCCAAATGCTTACTGGGCCCCAGCAACGGAAACTCCTGATAAAGAATCAATGACTGGGCATCACCCTGAAGCAAAATGGTTTTGGGGGTGCAGCACGCCCGGCGGTGCTCTGGGCTTGCTCCGGGGTCACTCCCGCGAGGGCTCATGGGACCGACACACGAAACGTTGGGGACCAAACACAGGTCTGTGGCTGCATGCAACCAAAACAGATTCCTTTTTTCCCCAATTCTGGGCAACTTCCGGCAGTGCTCAGGACTTAAATCCTGGCTCCGAGCTCAGGCATCACTCGGGTGGGCTTGGGGGACCATCCACGGAGCCGGGCACCAGCCACGTGCAAGGCAAATGCTCTGCCCGCTGGGCTCTCGCTGACCCTGAGCACTGGGTCCCTTGCCCTTTGGGATGACACGTGGGCAGGTCTGTGTCCCCCGCGTCTGACTGGAGGAAGAAGGCTGATGGTCAGGCACAGGCCGCCACGGAGTGGCCAGGCCGTGGACGGGGAAGCAGCGACTGCCGAGACGCTGGACTCCGCAGCTCAGCCGGGGAAATCAATCTACCTGCAGCCTGCTCTGTGCCGCGGGCGCTCGGAAGGAACGGCCCCTGTCCAGCCGCAGGCAGGTCACACCTGGGCGGCGGGAGGGCTCTGCTCAGTGGGCCATGCTCCCTGCCCCCGCTCCAGGAGGGGCTGCCCTGCAGGAGCCCCTTGCAAGGGGCTCTCCCGAGCCCCCGCCGACGCCTGACAGCAGCCGCCAACGGCCCTCGGCGTGGCCAGACCCGGACACGGCGGGGCCGTGGAGATGGCCCTTCGCGTGGGTGGCTCTGTCCACTGAGCCCGGGGGGGCCCCCAGTCCAGCGTGGATACAGGGCTCAGGACGCAGCCTCGGGGGGACCCCAAGGGCAGCCCCTCGTTCCTGATGCACAGAGCCTGGTTGTGGCCAGTCGCCTCCCACAGACCCCCCGCCCCCGCCCCGCCAGGCACCCTGGGCGCGCGTGGACCCGAACAGGCTGCTGTTTCGCCCACCCCCGCCCGGCCGCTGAGGAAGACGCTGACCACTCCAGGGCAAACGGCCAGTCAGCACGACCCCAGGAGCTCCGGGGAGCAGAAAGGAACCCCTCGGAGACCCCGAGAAACTACACCCCGGGGCCTGATTCAAGGGTCCCCCGATGCTTCGTGGTGTGTAGGGACGGGACATTTTCCTACGAAGAAGCGTCACCTGCCACCCTGCTTCCCCTGCTGCCTAGCGGACAGCAGGCAGATGGTCCCCTGGAAGGGTCAGGAGATGGATGGAGAGGCCGCAGCCTCGGCACGAGACAAACGGCCGCGAGCCCGCGCCCCCGTCACCCACGCAGGAGGCAGACGCCCCCCGTAAGCATCCACACGAGGCCGGCCGGTGCTCTTTCCTCTGCAGGATCGTTTTATTGTACAAAAATTTCCAGTAACAGTAAATTAGTTTTATAAAAGGACAACAGCAACAACAACACCAAAAAGTCATTTCGGATGGAAGCGCTTTCACTAATTGCTTTATTTAAGCACACAAGAAAAAAGTCTTATCTGACCAATTAGGTTGGAAGGGTTTTATTACCTTTAAGAAGCCATTAGCCAGGATAACACACTGAAAGCACTTGTGTCAAAACAAATCAATAATGCTCCCTCAATTAGCAGAGAAAGGGGTGAATCCGTTAAATTAGAGACAGACACACTGCTCCACGCCACGGGAAAGCCGGCACCCTCCGGCCCAAAATTAATAAAACAAGAGACAGTAGATTTCAGTTACAAATTCGAGAAAGATCGGGAGCCTGGGACACCGTCACGGGGGCCGGGCCTGGGAGCCCCCCACCAGAGGCCCCAGCCCGGCTTCCCCTCCAGGCCTCAAACAAAGGAGGGGGGTGGGGCAGGACCAGCCAGCTGCCCAGGAAGGCGCTCCCGGCCCATCGATCTTCCCCCAGTGAAGGTTCCAGAGGAAATACAGTGTTTTGAGGAGCCCCCAGGGGGGTGCCTGGGCTCCAGGGACGCGGGCACCGGTGAGGGCCAGGCGTCCCTTGGCCCCCCAAGATCCTTAAACCCACAATTCACCCCCCAACTCGGACAGTGACCAACCCGAGCCACTGGAGATGGAGGTCATACCCTGCCCCCGCCAGCCCACCCCAGGCCCCGCAGAGCACCAGGCCCAGGGCCTGGGACCCAACAGCTGCCCCTGGACCTCACAAGGCCTCTCGGGGGTCTCCGTGCTGCTCTGCCCTGGAGCTCCGTGAACGCCCGCGAGGCCGGGCCCAGCCCGCTGAGCTCCTCCGGACTTCCCGGTCCTCTCGTCCGTCCACCGGGTGACGGTCCGCCAGGGAACGCCATCCCGCTTGCCAGGGCCAGGGCCAGCCGGAGGTCGCCAGGACGAGAGAGCGGGGCCAGGTGGCAGCTGGGGCGGAGCCCACCCACTCGGCCCCGACAACTTGAATCTCTGGGCTCGACTGGTAAGTTCCTGGAAACCACCGAAAAGTCACTTTGCGACGTTTTACATGACTGGTCCAAATAAAGCGCGCTAAGGTGGCCACGTTCTGAAACGAGAGGTGAGGACAACGGAGAAGCCATCGAGGACCGGACACAGGCCACCCCACCAGCCGCACAACGGGTGGCGGCCAACCCTGGCACCACCGCCAGGCAGGCCACCCGGATCTCCGCGGGAGCCACGGGCCCCCGGGGAGAACCCAGCACCATATTGATAACAGGGGCTAAACAGCAAGGCCCGACTGGGCCGGGGACCCTCGCTCCACAGCGGAGGGCTCGGCCGCCACAGTCTGTGCGGGGGCAGCCGACCGCCCGGCCCGGGGAGTCGATAAATCAAAGCACTGGTGGGAGATCTCTGAAACGGAGTGTCGTCTGGTGGCTGATCTGAGACCCTCCCATGCCCAGCGGGGCGGCCCACTGAGAATGGCCTCTGGGTGAACCCCCAGCTCGTGAGTGGGGTCCGGCTGGGACGGGTCAGCAGTCGCTAGTGATGACGGGCGGGCGGGCACGTGCAGGGGGGCTCGGCTGGGGCCCTCGAAGACTGGGGGCTCGTGCTAATCGCCCGTGACCCGCGGCCCCCGGCGGCTCTGCCCGCCCGGCCCCCTCTCAGCTAACAGGGGGAAACGCACACGCACTGTGGACGAGGAATGCTCCATTTACAATTAATTTAAACTTATGAAGCTGTTTTGACTGGCCCATCTAAATGTGTTAATTAACATCAATGATGGTTTCTTATTTTTCACACTTTGTTACTCTGATCGTTAACAGTGATGGAAAATCTAAATTAAGTTAATGGGGAAGGGATTATAAATTCTTAAAGGGCTTCTCAGTTTGTTTTCGACTGGAAAATGTATGAGAAAGATGAAGAGGCAAATTTTTTTTTGCCTTTTATTCATAATTTTCTGGAACCGAATTTCTCAAAACCCAGATGGCTTCATTTTTTTTCCCCTCAAAAATCATTTGAACATGCTCCTCCTCAGACAGGGCCACTAAAAAAAAAAAAAGTCTATATACACAAATTATTGGAGTTTCTGGCACCACTGTAAACGTTCGGCTTCTTTCCCCAGCTCAAAACAAACCCTTCACCCGGAAGACAGAACTCAAAGGGCTGCGCCGCGCAGTCCTGCGAGTCCCAGGCCTGGGCAGCGGAGAGAGCAGAGAGCCCCACGGCCGAGCTGGCCGCTGCCCACGGGGACCCACGGACGCGAGAGCCACGGGCGCGGCCAGCCCGCTCCCCCGACGCGGAGACCAGGCCCGGGGCTGCCCTCGCCAGCAGCCCGGGCGCGGCCCAGCCCAGCCCCACACCGGGGACATCTCGTGCGGACACAGGCCCGACGCCACTTAGCGGGACTTCACGCCGATGAGGATGACGATGAGGACGACGACGATGACAAACAGGATCAGAATCACCAGCATCTTGCGGTTCTTCTTCTGATACTGTTCCGCCTGCAGAAAGAGGGGGCGAGGCTGTGTCCTCCAGACCCAGACCGCGTCGGCCCCTCACCGGCGCTGGCCCGGGCCCCGAGCTGCTGACCTACGGCCTCCGGGCGCGCGCTCTCCCTCGGAGGACGGGCCTGGGGACCTGCTGATTCCGGGCCAGGCCAGACCACCCCCCTCCCCACCCCCAGGGAAGGAAGCTGAGCACCCAGAGTCTGGGAAGAAAACCGACTCGCCCATACAATGAAAGGCAGGAAGTGTGTCCCGGGGTGCAGAGGCGGGAAAGACCCCCTGACCCCGGCGGGGCCCAGGGGACCAGATGTGGCGCCGAGAGCCAAGGCAGGGCGAGTGCCCGGCCCGCTGTGCTCTCTCTCTGGGCCCCCTGCTCCCCTTCCCTTCTGGAGCTTCTAAACCCGCCCTTAACAACCCGGGCACGAGGGCATGAGAAACCGCGGTCAGATCGGGGCTCGGCCACTTGAAGGGGCCGCAGTTCAGTCCCGGGGCTGAGTCTCAGGGCCCGACAGGGGCCAGCCAGGACACGCGCGAGGGGCCACCTGGTGAGACGCACGGCTAAGGACCTCCAGACGACGTGGCCCCACTCCGCTCAAGAAAGCAGCAAACCGGCTCCAGAAACAACATCGGAGCAGAGAATCCAAAAAATGCTGCTTCGGTGACCAGAAATACCCAGCGGGCCCCCAAGATACGAGGAGGCGGACAGGAGGCGCCTGAGAGGGAGCAGAGCAAGGTCTGCAGGACATTCCTCTCCAGAAGCCCCGGGCCAGGCACCGTCTCCTCCTCACGCTCAAGCACGGTCACATGACTTCTAAGATGTGTGTGTGTGTGTGTGTGTGTGTTTGTGTGTTTTAACAGAAAGAAACACATTCCTGAAATGACCTCTTACTTGCAAAAAAGTCAGCGTGTTCACACGTGCACTTCAACCAACTACTCTTTTGTACCAAACGGTGAAACTGCCCAGGTAGACTGTGATAATTCAAAGGGAAAATGAGGGTTTTTTCTTCTCCAGAGTGATTCTCGCCCAGCAGCTCCTCGGCCAGTTGCCGTGACGGGAAGAGGCCCGAGCTCAGCTCCAAGCAGAGGCCTCGGCGAGGACCAGACAGTCTCCAAGAAACAAAACCCCGATCCCTGTGAAAGTGCCCTCCCTCCGCCGTGCGTCTGGAATCATGGCCCAGGTGAGACGGCCACGGCCCCGGTGCCCCATCCCCCCGCCGAGGGTGGGCCTGAGAACGGGCTCGACCCCCCACCACTGGGGTCGGGGGTTACCTTGTGAAGCTGTTTCAGGCCGTCTTCGGTTTTGATACACGACTGCTCGACGTTGTAGTCGATCCTGTCCAGGACTGTGCCCTGAGTGACAGAGACAGACAACAACCGCGACTCGGAAAATTGAACTTCAAAAATGAGATATGCAGATGGCGGGCACGGTCCCCGCGGGATTATCTGTTTCACTCAGCGACGCTCAGGGACCCGGGAAGGCCTGGAACTCGTCAGCAGGCAGCACCGGGCTCTCAACGGCAGAGCCCCGGGTTGGCCAGGCCCGTGGGAAAGGCGGACGGACAGACGGGGCCGCTCGGGGCCACACTCAAACCGGGCAGGGCCTCGGATAAAAAATCCCGCGACTTCGAGGCGGGGGGCGGGGGCGGGGGCGGGGAGGGGGCTCTGAGTGGGAAGCGGCATTGGAGGCGGCTCAGGTAGGGAAAGAAAGGGCCGTGACGTGAGACCCGGTTCTGATCAGGCCTGCCAACACCACCGGGGTCTCCGTGGGGCAGAGCAGAGACGGGAGCTCCGAGCCACCATCTAAAATTAAACGTGCGCCCCGAGGAGGATTTTGTTCCTAATTGTTTAATCATCTGGTTCAAAGAGAGACAGGTCGGTGATCTGGAGGCGCAGGCCTAATGGACACACGCATTAGAGCGGGCAGCGGCCCCCAGACCAGGGCCTGATTAACCTAACGAGACCCCCCCCAGGGACGCAGCAGCCCGGGTGCGGGGGCTTTCATGGGGCCCAGGGCCCAGATCCCTGCTGGCAAGACAATAAAACACCCTAATCAGATTGAAACACTAACAAACAATTTAATTCTACTTGAAAGACAGTGGTGCCAGTTGCCACTGTCTAACAGCCTGCCCAAACGCGCAGGGAAGCGTCTCTCCCGCCAGGGTCCTGCCTCGCGGGCAGGGACGGCAGGTGCGGCGCCCGTCCTGGGGCTCAGCAGGAAGCACGAGAACCCCTCTGAGGGCTACTTGCTGTTTTCTTTTGTTTTTTCGGGGTCACACCCGGCGATGCTCAGGGGTTCATCCTGGCTCCGCACTTAGGAATCACTCCTGGGGGTGCTCGGGGGCCCTATGGGAAGCCGGGGATGGAACCCGGGTCAGTCACGAACAGCCTGGCAGGGGTCTCCCTCTCTCTCCAGTGATCCGATCACAAAGTTCAAAAAGAAAAAAAGAGAACGAGCCCGGCCCGCCACGCGCGCAGGCGAACGCCCTCCCCTCCGTGCCGTCGGGCTCATCTGGCCCCCCCGCCACGCGCGCACCTGCTCCACGATCATGGCGCCCAGGTCCCGGAAGATCTCGTTGAGGTCCGAGATGGACTGGACGATCTGGCGAATCTCCCGCTCCCGCTCCTCCACCATCAGCGTGTTCTGCTCCACCAGCAACAGCTGATCGTCGGTGAAGCCCTGGGCCAAGCGCGGGAACTGTGCGTCAGTGTCTCTCTCTCTCTCTCTCTCTCACACACACACACACACACACACACACACACACACACATGCCCTGGGACAAGCACAAGAACTTTGTGTGTATGTGTGTGTGTGTCTCTCTCTCTCTCTCTCTCTCACACACACACACACACACACATGCCCTGGGCCAAGCATAGGAACTTTGTGTGTATGTGTGTGTGTGTGTGTGTCTCTCTCTCTCTCTCTCTCACACACACACACACACACACATATGCCCTGGGCCAAGCATAGGAACTTTGTGTGTATGTGTGTGTGTGTGTGTCTCTCTCTCTCTCTCACACACACACACACACACACACACGTGCGCGCGTGCGTGCGCGCATGCGAAGAAAATGGACGCTGAGGGTGTCTACAAAGCACAGAAGTGACATACAGCATTTCCTGCTCCCTAGGGGGAACATCCACTAGCCCAAACAGGACCTGACACACCGCTGGCCACTGCAGGGCAAGAGGACAGAGGCCCCGGCCAGCCTGCCGCCACACAAGGGCCGAGACCAAAGCCGGGGGACGGGCCGGAACAGCCCGGGGTGTGTCCCGGCTCCTGCCCGGAGGAAGGCAGGCAGGGTCCGCCCCTCCCCCGCAGGCCCCGCGACCCCCCGGCTCCTACCCGGCCGTACAGCGTGTCGGCCTCGCCGTCATCCATCAGTGGCACCGACGTGTCGAAGAACTGCTGGGAGCACTCCTCGCGGTTCCTCATGCCTGTGCAGAGGGGCGGCTCAGCGACCGAGAGGAGAGTTCTGGAAGAACCCCCTCTCCGGGCAGGGGAGCGGGGAGAGGGGTCCTGGAGACAGGCAACCCCGGGAGCACGGTCACGCGCCAGCTCGCGCGTGCCCACCCTGCCCAGGCGGGCGCTGCGGGACGAGGGGACCAGAGACCCTCGGCCCGGCCGCCACCACAAGGGGTTCCTGAGCCGTATTTCTCCCCGGGACCGCGGCTGCGAGGGGCTCCCCATGGCCCTGAACTCTGTAAGCGACAAAACTGACGTAGAAACGTGCCAGCTGGGCGAGGGGCGAGGGAGGGCGCGCGCACCTGGGTTTCGGGGAACCAGTGCTGGGGACCGCGACGGGGCCGGAGGGGCAGGCGCCACCGAGGGAACGGGCAGGAGCAGCTGAGGTCCGGCCGCCCAGAGGGTGGGCCGGGGTCGCCGGGAGGGGCCGGGCACCACGGCGAGCCCCAGGGCGACTCACGTTTGAGGTAGCCCGACTGCGCGTGCCGGAAGCCGGTGGACAGCTCCTGCAGGGCCTGCGCCAGGGAGGTGACCACGTTCCGAAGGAGCCGCTCCTCCTGCGGCGAGCAGCCCCGGCGGGCCCGGCCCGGCAGCGCCTGCACCGCGCGCTGGCACCTGTGGAAGAGCTGAGACGGGCGGGCCAGTGGGGGAGGGGCCGCGCCTCCGGGACCCCCAGCACCCGGACCCCAGGCCGGAGCCCCGAGGGGCCCAGCACGGGCGGCTTCCCGGACGCGGAGAGCCGGGCTCTCCTGGTGCCGGACCGAACGGCGGCCCCGGGTGGCGGCCTCGATGCAGGCTCCGGACGGACCCACGCCGGGCCCGGGGCGGCGACCGGCGCTGGCCCCTCACCTGGGTGATCTCCTGGGTCGTGATCTCGATGGCGTGTTCCTGCTCGCTGCTGTCGTCCAGCGTGGGCCTGTTCACGTGCTGGTCGTGCAGACTGGCCAGCTCCTTCATCTTCTGCTTGATCCGGCCGATGTCATACTGGATCTGGAGGGACGGAGCCCTCAGTGCGACCGGGAGGCTCGGGGCACCGGCAGCTGCCCTGGGCCAGAAACGCCGCCCGCGACACCCACTGCCCCGCGACCTGGCGCCTGTTTCTCCCGCCACTGGGGCAGCGATGACTGAAGCCCACATCATCAGTGCACACACACACACACACACACACACACACACCCCTACCCCCCCAGACACAGACACAAATACAGACACACATGCACACATCCATACGCACATCCATCCCCCCAGACACAGATACACACACACACAAGCACACCTACACCCCTCCAGACACACACAGACACACACATCCACATACACACATGCAGACACACACACACAACCTACTCCCCCCAGACACACACAGACACAGACACGCACACATCCACATGCACATCCATCCCCCAGATACACACACACTCATCCCCCCACATGCATACATCCATACACACACACACGCACACAAACCCCACACTCCCCACACATATCCACCCCACCACAAACACACACAGAGAAAACAAACACACTGAAACAAATACACAAACACACACATCCACACATACATCGACACCCCCCAGACATATCCCCACAGACACACACGCAGACACACCCCCCACACATGCACACATCCACACCCACAGGCATTCACACAGAGACACAGATACACACAGACACAAACACACCTCAAACACAGACACACAGAGACAGACAGACACACACACACACACACACACACACACACACACACACACCTCTTGTGGACTGTGAACGAAACAGGCCCAGCCTCTTTCCAGGAACATGCATTCAAGTTTAGAGCACTTTTTAATAGCAAAAGATGACCTTAAAATGTTAATGTCACGATTCTTAAAAAGCAAAACCCAACAGCGAGTAGGAAACGAACATTCAACTTACTTCGTCCACGCCATCCACCCACTTCGGGGGCGACCGTTTCGTCACTCCAATCGCTGCCTCTGGGTCCAGGCTAATGCCTGACACCAGGGCCATACGGTCATCGGCGAGCTGCAAGGACACGAGAAAAATCACCCAAGGTCCGCTCGGACAAGCACGTGCCGACCCCCCGCGAAACGCGGCCCCGAGAGGCGGCCAGGCAGGAGACGCCGCCTGTGGGTGAGCGTGTTCTCGGCACGAGGGGGCTGCCCGTCTGCCTCTCGCGCTCCACGACTCTGCCCTGAGGAAGCTACCGGGAGAGCCAACAGGAGCGCCTTGGGGAGGCTTCTCGGGGGCCAGGGAAGGGCAGGGGCTCCACCGGGATGAGCAGATGAAGTCTGAAAGGAGGGAGAGGCCCGTACTGGGACTGCACTGGGATGATACAGTTTCACCGGCAGAGGGGTGACTTTCAGACACTTTCGTATACTTTGTAGCAGGGCTGCTCGGCCAGCAGCCTCGAGACCCTTAACGTGTACTCAAGTGTGTGAAAGAACTGCTGGGAACGGGCACGTGCCCATCACCTGGCGGGCACCCCAGCACCTCGGTGCACCCCGCACAGCCGCCTCCGGTCCTTAGCCCAAGACCCACGGCAACGTCGCCACGGACCTTGAAACGCTATCGCTGGCTCCCGTTTATCTTACCCACATGACACACTGCCTGCCGCACAGAGCTCTAAGGCTGGGGGGGACACGGCGGACTGGCCCAGCCGAGCGGCTCTCCTGCCTCCAGTGCCCGGCTCCGGGGCTGCCCCCAGAGCTCCGGATTACAAACGCCCGTTTGTTCCCAAGACCCCAGTGATGATCAAAGGAATAACGGAAAACAGTGATCATTTGCAAACTTCTAAAGCCATCGTAGAACCGGATGAAAAATCTATGTTGTTTTCGGTCTCCCCCAACCTGGCATTTATCTAGTTTTTTTTTTTAATCCTTCATTCAGTAAATAAGTGATTGCTTAAAAATCCGCAGAGGGGGGCAAATATTACATGTAGGAAAAAAATCTCTATGAGCCCTAAATTCTGAGCAGAACGTTGGGAGCAAACCAAGCAGGCGGGCACACAGCGGCCGCTGCCCCCGACACCTCGCCCGGGGACCAGGCCCAGCCCAGCCCAGCACTTGGGGCCAGAAGCTAATGGGCTGCCCCCACCAGCACTCCCCGGCCCTGGGCAGGAGCAGGGGCCGGTCCCACTCACGGCCCCCCCGACTTGGTGCCCACGTTCCCTACTGGGAGTCCTGCGATCTGTCCTACGCTTCCGCACCCACCCCGGGTGAGGGCTCAGGGAACCCACCGTGGGGCCCGGCTGAGTGGGGAGCAACGGGAGAGCCCAGGGCCCTGCCCAAGGTCAGAGCCACTCGGTGACAGGGGGAACGCGGGCTGGCGGCCCTTCCCAGGCCAGGCCGCCAATCACTCCAGAGGGGCCCAGGGAAGCTACGTGCAGAATGCGGAGTCAGCCGGAGGGAAAACAACACGCCCCACAGCCCCCCGCCACGCCCCGCCAGGCCTGTCCGGCAGACGGGCCCCGAGGGGAGCAGCTGCTCACGTCGGCCCCTCGCCCGCCCCTCCCGGCTCCGGGCCCAGGCCAGACAGCTGCCTGACAAGGAGCAGCCGCCCGGGCTGAACTTTGACCCCCGGCATCTTGCACGAAGCCCACCCTGGCCCCCAAGGTCCCTCGCCAGGGGCACGGACACCTTCTTCACCACCCCCCGCCCCCACCCCCCAGCCCACCTGCCCCGCAATTCGTAAGCAGTGCACGCGGTCCAAACAGGGCGTGATCTGTAAACTCCTGACTGACTTGCCCCTCGGACCACTTGCAAAGAGGCCGGAGAAAAGACACGCGAGGCTTATCTAAATTCGCCAGTTTTGCTTGTGTGTGTTCTGGGCCTCACCCAGCAGTGCTCAGGGCTTCCTTGTGGCTCTGCAGCCAGGGTCACCCCTCAGGGGGCTCAGGGGGTCTATACGTGGTGCCAGGGATCGAGCCTGGGTCGGCCGTGTGCAAGGCAAGGGCCCTCCCTGCTAGACTGTTTTTGGGGGGTTTTTGCTTATTTTGGGTCACACCCAGGGATGCTCAGAAGTTACTCCTGGCTTTGCACTCAGGAATTACTCCTAGCGGTGCTCAGGGGACCACATGGGACGCCGGGGATCGGACCCAGGTCGACCGCATGCAAGGCAAACGAACTATCCACTGTACTATACTGTTACTCGGGCCCCATGGGATTAGTAGGCAGTTGAAGCAAGTGAGACTTCCAAACCGCCATGAAAAGTCAGTTGAAGTGTTTTTGACCTCTCAAACAGGACTTGCTTCTTCACACAACAGACGTGTCCCCCTCCACAAATGCACAGAAATCAAAAATGTGGAGAGCGACCCGCTCACGGGTCTGGAGGAAGCCGGCTGGCGAGAGCCGGCCCGAACACGGGGGCCCACGGGGACCCCAGGTCAGACCACAGGCAAGGAGGCGCCACAGCTGGCTCAGAGAAGCTTCCAGAGCTGCTGCTGCGGGCAGAGCCTCTGCAGGGGGCTGACCGGCCCCTCACGATCCAGCCCACACGGATGACTCATCCTGGTGAAGAATGCAGGACTCCTCAGAGAAAACCACTCATTTCAATGCAGAGATTTGTAATATTTATCGCAATGGATCACTACCAAAAAAAAAAAAAAACAGGGCAGGTTTGGGAAGAGGAGATGTAGTTCATTATTTGGAACGTGCATAGATAAGAATATAAATTACGTCTGAAGCGCAAACCACCACCCTTTGACTTCAGAAACCTCATTCTCCATCTGAAAATGTGTTTCTTTGCCCGTGAGAACAGGCGACGCAGTTTCACAGTCCTGCAGACTGCAGCTCCTCCTGCCCGGTTCCTCTTCTGGCCGAACCTCGACTGAGCGTCCCCACTACGTCCTCACAGGCTGGCCACCAGAGGGGCCGGGAGGCCGGGACAGCACAGCAGGCAGCCCACGCCCGGCCAAGCTGGGCACGACCCCCAGCACCACACACGGTCCCCTGAGCCCCGAGGGGGGGGGGTCCCCACAACCAAAACAAAATAAAATAAAGGGATTTTTAAAAATGCATATGTGTGTAATGTGAAAAAGAAATCATTTCACGCTTTCTATTTTTTTGTTTTTGCTTTTGTTTTTTGGGTCACACCCGGTGATGCACGGGGGTTGCTCCTGGCTCTGCACTCAGAATTACTCCCGGCGGTGCTCAGGGGACCATAGGGGATGCTGGGGATCGAACCCAGATCGGCCGCGTGCAAGGCAAACACCCTACCCGTTGTGCTATAGCTCCGGCCCCTTGTGCTTTCTAAAACAAGGAAAAAAGTCTCTATGAAAATCCCACTGCGGAGAATTAAGAACTCTTGCCCCTGTGTCTGCAGCCCAGGCCTGCCCTGGCCTCGCCAGCAGGGGCCTCCCAGGCCGGCAGCACCTCCCTGCGGCCGACTCCGTCCGTCAAGGCCTTATCTCTGCCCTTGGTCCGGTTCAGAAATGACATGTGTCCCTTCCAGGAGCCCAGAGGCCTGGGCAGCTCCCGCCCTACGAAGGGGACACTCCCCGGCTTGGGCCTCGCTGACCAGCCTCCTCGGGAACCTCCACCTCGGAGCAGCCCCCGGGACGGTCCGCAGGGGCCCCAGTGAGGAGTCTTGGGAGTCCCGGGGGGCCGGGAAAGCACTGTGTGCTCCATTCTGAAATCTGCACGCGTTCAAACAGACGCCGTCCCCCGCGGTCTGTGGCCAGGGACGACGGCGGGGCCAGCGCAGGCCGCTCCTCCCCTTCTTGGGGACCACAGGGCTTGACTGCCAAGCAAGTGCACACACCACACACACGCACACGCACACACACACACACACACACGCGCGCGCGCACTCACACACACACATGCACATACGCATGAACCACACACACACACACACACACACACACACACACACACACACGCGCATGCAGGCCTCCCCAGACACTAGTCTCCCCCTAGAAAGGGCCCGTGCAGGCAGGAAGCCCGCCTGGGCTGTTCCTGAAATGCGCCCACTGTCGGCGCTTCCGTGTTTTCCCACGAATCCCCGTGGCCACGCCAGGCGCCGACTACAGGCCCGGCGCCAGCAGCCCGGCCTCTGCCCGGGAACAGAACCGGGCCGCTCGGGGGCTGCTGCTGCTGTCACGGACTCAAGGCTTCTCGAAGCTCCGCAGAGCCGGGCTGCAGCCCTGCAGAGCTCCCCTGCACCCTCTGTCCACACGCGGAACTGCAGCCCCACGGACGGCAGGCCCCTGCTCCCCTGAGCACCCCTCAGCCAGGCCAGGGAGGTGCCCCAGCCCCCACCCAGACCTGGACCCTCCTGCAGACGAGGGGGTCACCAGGCCCCCAGGACGTGTCCACCCACAGCTGGAAACCGTTTCCAGCCTTCGCTAAACCTCCGAGCACCAGGGCCGTGAAACTGGAGTGAAGGAGTTTTCAGTGTTGGGGCATCCAACAGACCAGGGGTCAGTGACCGGGAGACAGGCTGGAAGGGGCGAGGGTGCGAGCCGGGCAGAGCCCAGGCTTCAGCAAAGGGACGGACACGCATAAACATTCAGGCACGGTACCTCATCCAGCTCCTGAGGACAGATGTTCCCATCGGCCCCATCCAGTTGGGAGAGCAAAAAAAGAAAGAAGGAGAGGGACAGACAGACAGACACAGGATGGTCAGTTACAAACAACAATGCATTTTTAAGTCACTCTAAAATCGACTAAAAACTCAATTTATTTTACAGACCTAACAGCCAAGGCACTTTAAAAAAAAACCTCTCACCCCCGATTCTTCAAAAAAAGCCACATCATTATTTTATTTTTACTTACTGTGACCGTTGCTTTGGCAACCGAGATAGGATACACACATTACATAGTAGTAAAAATTAAAATACAACGGAAACAACAAAAATACACTTGCTTTAGTTTCGCTAAAATATTAGTCAGATGCACAAGTCTCAAATATCACATACAACATTCTAAATCCCCTGCCAGAAGAGAGCAAAATTAAAATGTTATTTTTACCGCATCAGACAAATGTACCTTTACACGTGTAAATCTGCCCTGCAAACTAGGAAA